ACGGCGAAGTGGACGGTGGCGATACTAACATATCATCTGACACATTTTATTTTTGTATTTTCATGTATATGTATGCGTGAAAAATAAATCTTTATGAATCGCCTTGTATAAATAACTGTATATTAATAATTATGTAACTAATCTTAACTATCTTCTAACGCTAACCTCTAACAATCTGCTTGGGAATATCGCTTTACTCTTATAGTGTGCTGAATCCATGCGGGCTGCAGTAAGTTGCGTAGCACCATGGGATTCAGCTCATTATCTGGGCAACCAACACTTTTAACACCTGCTGCAGCTGCCGCTTAATGGTGTACCTAGCTTCTCTAGCTTACTTACACCGTTTTGGAAAAGTTACTAATTAGGAAGATTCTGGTGTTCTGAAATTAAACTATTTTTAGGGTAGAATGTAAGTTTTATATATCGCAATGAATTGTTTACTTTATGAATCTGTTTTTAATTAAAAAAAATCTTGGTCAATAGAGAACTTCTGTGTTTTATGTTTTGATAACTTGATAATCATATCAAAAATATTCAGGTCTGACTTATATATTAATAAAAATTGTTCCCGCTGTAGAAAACCATCGAAAGATCTTATAAACGGACCGAAAAATTGAGTTTATCATTCCGAACCACTTGGTTTTTTTAACATTTTTAACTTTTTAATAACAGTTTAGCCAACTCAACAGTAGTTGACAGTAGTTGGGGCTGTCTAAGAGAAAACCTTTCAATCTTTAACTTACCACATACAACCTGGTGTACACAAGATCAACAAAATGAAACGACATGATTCAGGTTTCACATCTATATAGTAATCCAGGATACACATAATATTTTGGGAACTTCATATTTAGTTGTAAGTTCATCCGAAAATTGTACAGTATAGATCTATGTTTCATAAATGCTAGTCTTACAATTTCTATACGAGTTTTAATTTCTTCATCAGTATTTATTCTTTATCCAACATCTTAGGTTTTAAAAATGGTTAACTTTTTTAATCGGCTCATTGTTGACAGTTATCTACGTAGGGCCAACGTCTTGTTTACTAATCACAAGTAACTTTGTTTTTGATGTATTTATGCCAAGTCCGTTATTGTAGCATTCTCTAGTGATTCGATCGATAACGAATCGAAGATCTTTGATACTTTCAGCCATGATCGCTGCATATCTGATGTTGTTGATAGTTTCTGCCCCAATTGAAACTCAACATTGCCCTTCCAAGGCTTTGTTAAATATTATTTCCAAGTTCAAGTTAAACAAAATTAGGGATAATGCACATCCTTGTCTGACATCTCTTTGAATGAAAATGTTGTATGTTTCTTTGTCGTGTATCAGAAAAGAAGTTTCTTGATTCCAATATAGATATTGTAAAAGTCTCAGATCTCTATAATCTATTCCAATAATTTCTAGATACTACAACAGCATTTCATGTTGGACCCTATCAAATGCCTTTTCAAAATCTATAAAGCAGACGTTAATTGGTTTCTGTACTTTTTATGATCTTTATATTATGGGTTACCATAATAACACTTATATAGTATAATACTATATAATACTATAATTAAGCGTAACAGTGCTTCTAGACGGTCTGCAAAAACAATGGTGTTCTTTGCGACTCTTATGTTGTTCAAGATTCTTCCGTTTATTGATCCGATCAATAACCCGTATATCTCGACTATCCACATTCTTGTCTTTCCCAGTTTTACGAGTTTCTGATGCCCTTTTATATCAAAAGCCTTTTGATAATTTATAAAGCAGACATAGAGATCCTGGTTCATACCTAATCGTCTTTGCGCGAGAACGTTAAAACCTAGTCTCTAGCCTCTCTCATTCCTAGTCCTCATCTGAATCCAAACTGGGTGTCATGTATAGATTCTTCTATTTTTTTTATAATCTTTCATGTATTATTTTGAGAAATGTTACAAACGTGGACAGCAACCAATCTTCGGGTATTACTCCTGTTGCATAAACTTTGTTGATCAGATCTAAAAGTATATGCAGTGTTTCTTTGTCAATGCATTTAATTAGCTCAGTGAGTATTTGATCAGGACCTACTGTTTTTGCGGTCTTTGCATTTCTAATTGCCTGTTCTAATTCGCACATTCTTATTTTCGGTCCTGTTTGTTCCTGTAGTTCTTCTTGTATCATTCTATCATCGTCGAATAATTTCATTATGTATTCTTGCCAAAATCTTAGTTTATTTTTGATGTCTGCAATGAGTTTACCATTATCATCTTTCAGTATCCCATAGTGTGCTCGCTTTTTGGTATTTGTTAGTACTTCTGTTAGATTTGAGTTGACATGTTGGACCACTTTTTGATGTATTTCTCTTTTTCTTAATTTTGTATAATAAATCGTTGGTTTATTTTTAGGTATTACAATCTTTTTGAGTTTCACGCGCATTCTAGCTATCAGCAGCTTATGTTCTAAGTTGACATCTGCTCCGGGGTATGCTTTTACTGAGAAGTTGAGATTTTGTATTTTTTTTTGACTAATATATAGTCTATTTGATTTGTTTGAAAAATTAAAGGCAGATATCGAGCACAATTTTATTCATCAAATCTTGCCCAAGTACTTTCGCTTTCTAAAGCATCATCAGGGACATTTCGTCAAATTTGGGCAATCTAACAAGCGCAGAATGTTATAAACATGAAAATAAAACATACTTGTAAATTGTACATAACACTACACTAAACAAGGACAAACAGTTTAAAATTATTTAAAAATTAGTCGACGCTACATTCTTGTCGGCAACAGGAGAGAGAATTCATTCATTCACTTTCTCTCTCCTGTTGCCAACAAAAATGTAGCGTCGAATAATTTTTAAATAGTTTTAATCTGTTTGTCCTTGTCCTAAACTCCTTGTTTGGTGTAGTGTTATGTACAATTTAATCAATGCTACTTTGGCAATATTTGATAAATAAAATTGTGCTCGATATCTGCCTTTAATTTTTCAAAGTTCATTTATTCGAGTATTCAACCCTATATCAATCTATTTGATTTCTGACTATACGGTCTTTTTTGTCTGCGGGAAATCTTCAAGTGTATAATCTTCTGTCGGGTAGTTGGAACATTGTGTACATTATTTCAAAACGTTCATTTTGACACAAATCTACAAGTCTCTCCCCTCTTACGTTTCTGTCACCTAGTCCAAATTCCCCAGCATATTCGTTAACTTTTCCTCTCCCGACTTTATCATTAAATAGTCCCCCATTACTATTGTAAGGTCTTCTTTGTTAATAGATCTTAAAATTGTGTCGTAACTCCTTCTTCTTCTTCATGTACCATGTCCTTTCAGAACGTTGGTTACCATCATAGCTATTTTAATTTTATTCACTGCCCGTAACTCCATGTAAAGATATTCTATCTCCTCTTGATCCTTATCCGCTGTTGGTGCGTATACTTGAATTAAGTTAACTTGTTGTATGTTTGTCTTTAGCTGGACCATTATCACTCACTCTGAGTAAGGAGTAAAGCTTATAACTGATATATTAGTTTGTGTGTTTAACAAGATTGCGACTCCATAGCGATGAGCCAAATCGTTGTTTCCAGCATAAAATACATCATGCCGTTTTTGGATGTAAGGTTGCCGGTATCTGTCCATTGTACGTCACTTATGCCCAGTATATTTATTTCCATTCTGGTCATTTCTTCTATTAAACTGTCTAATTTTCCTGACTGGTAAAAGCTTCTTACATTACATGTTGCAAGTCTACATTGGTCTACATTTGTGTATTCTTAGACGTGGAATTTTATTGTCTAAACGAGGATTTTGCTTGCTATCGACCTGGAAGACCTCGTCTCTTACATGATCTTTTCCTTCCCCACCGGATCTTGGTTTCCTTTTTTGACCGTTTGACTTTTTTGCGTATTTGCCAGGATGAATGACTGGGGATGTTCTGTTGAACCTTTAATGTAGTGATTTCTCCTTGCCTTATGCATTCTTCTGCCGTTGACCAATTTATTGATTCTTCCGCCTTTGGAGTCGATTTCTCAGCTCCAGGACAAAAGATTGTCCTACTACTTACCGATTCATCCACCCGAAGCCGTTGGTTGGTAAGCAGGAGATTGCTTATACCGGCAATTACTCGGTCCCTATCTGTGTTAGCCATCAACATTAATGTTGCCCACCTTCTACCACGTGGAGGTGCATATTCAGATTTTTCCTTCATTGAGATTAAGACCTTTTGGCATTTCCTAATCTCTCCAGAGCTTTAGAAAGTTCAATTGGTTTGAACGTATGCAAAAGTGTATCGGTCTTGGTGGGTTTTTTTTGAAAAGTAATAAAGTCTAAATATATGTTTTGTCTTTATGGCTATATGTAAAACTAAAAAGACAACCCTCGTACTGAAAATTACATTTTATAATTTCTTATTTGATGTTTACATTTCCACTCAGGAAATCGTTTTTAAAAAAGATTATTTTAAAATAGTGAGCTGTTATTATAACCAATATATAGTTGTTCGATCTTGTAGGCAAATATCCGTATTTTTAGCTGAAAATTCTCGGGGTGGTGTTTTGTACCCTCAGAATGATATTAAATTCTTATTGTTTTGTGTGTTTATGTATTATAATTGATTTCCTTTTACTGTTAATGTCCATCAGTTGATTCAATGCTTCTGGTCCGCAAGGCCAAATAGAGAACACATCATCTACATATGCCCATCATACTATGGGTTGTTGGTTATGTTTAAGCACAATGTTTTGTTCAGATTTCTCCATAAAAATATCTGCTAATAACGGAGCTAAGGATGAGCCCATGACTTATCCAAAATATTGTTTGTAGAAATCATTATCTAGTTGAAAATAATTGTCTGTAAAATTTTGGGACTACACTACTACTATAAGGAATACTTAGTAGTCCCAAAATACTTGTACCACATATTATGTCTAAATTTTAAGCTCCAAACGATAAGTATGATTCAGTAAGTTTCTGTTGTTTGTTACTTAATTGTAATTTTTAATTTCGATAAGTTCATTAACATCGTTTTTATTTTCAGGAATTATGGATCCTGTTTTGAGCAGTGAGCTGGTCCTTTTGGAGCCTTTAATGCAGCCAGAGTACAACTTCAGCTTAGATGCGACGGAAGGCTTAGCGGACCTCTTCGATTATGATTTCCTTTCTTAAACATTTTTGCTCACCTATGTACAAATCACACGTGACACACCCTGTAGAAAACACGACTATTTATTATCGAGTATTTAAGATATTTGTTCAGTGATTTGTTTGCCAGTTCCTACCTAATTTGTGGAGATTTTGACCAATAGTGACAATGGCGACATATGACAATTGACACTTCCCAGTGCAGCCAACTAATACCATACGGCAAACTGAAACAAGGGTTAAATGTCATCCAATAAATTTGTGAGAAGCGAAAAATATCAAATTTAATAAGTGCAACGTATTTGTTTTTCGTTTGTTTTATATTGTTATACTGATTTAGTTTCAGCCATTCAATTATGACTTTAGCGTTGCATAAACTTCTAAATAGACTGAGACTAAAAATACTTTAACTAGTATTAGGAACTGTATTAAAACAGAAAGATCAGTGTAAAATTTTCTAGGTCTAGGAATTGGCGTTTTCAAATCTTTTATGAAAAATTATTGTTATACACAGTCACATGAAGTGGCCTTAGAGGGTGTTCCTTGCCGTACACCGTTGTTGTACACCGTCAAGTTGAAAAGTTGTTGAATGTTATTTTCTTCTCGTTTTGTATGTTATAAAGAATTTGGGACAATATTCATACAGGGTAATTGTTTCTTGAAAGTATGACTATAATCAGGTAGTTCGGTATGTTATTGTATTAAAGTTTTGGCGTTATTCGTTTACGGTAGCTTGATTTTTCATTAGTTTTTTTGTTATTTAAGTTTGTGTTTTCCTACAGGGTGTTTGGAAATAATTACTTTTAGAAATAACAACTAGTTGAATCCACAGAGTCCACTATACATTTAAATAACTATCGCTTTGAGTTCGTTTGTTTATGCGCGACATTAGTGTGACGTCAAGCTGTCAATTTTTGTTTACTTAAGTCGTATTAATTCGGTACAAACTGAGTTTGCTGTAAAGAGTTCATTTTTAATTTTTCAATTAGTTTGAACTCCAAGAATATTAACAAAAAGAGTTTGAAATGCGAAATACTTTTAGTCTAATCAATGACTGGAGAGTTTTGTTTGTCGCGGATCTAATCTAAATAGTATACGAGTACACGATTTCGGACTGAGTTATAGCAGAAAATAATGAAAAGTTTATCTTGTAAGAAGTACTCCAGAGGATGGACGAGATATGTCCATAAATGATAATACTACTCGAGTTTTCATGAATTAGATCCACTTCGTATAATCGTGATTTGGAATCGCTATCTTTAAAGCAATTAATTTTACAATTCCTTACAGCGGGAAATGTGCTGGGGGGTGGGGGGGGGGTTCAAGCACAACTCAAATGTTTTAAATTTAAAATATTTAAACCATGTAACTTACATTCTTCAAAATTTTCAAATTAGTTTACTAAGTGCAAAATAGAATGAAAAAAATTGGCCTTTTTAAAAATATCTTTGTTTCTTACCGGCTTACAACTGTGTTCCAATTTAATAGGGCCAAATTTAGAATGGACGGCGCAGTGTACATAAATTGCTCATGGAAGTTTTTCTCTCATCCTGGATTGTACTCAGCTTATAATATGATCACCATGTTTGCGGCTCTGTCATATGTATGACCAATGCAGTCGTTCATATCTAAGATAAGAGCACTGTTCTAGAATTATTGTTGATATATTTTCAGCTGATTGATCATTTATGGGGATATAAGTCAAAAAATCTTCACGCTACATCGGCGTTGAATGCTCTCTTGATAGATATCACACACAATAAGACATTTGAACTATTCCAGAAACATCACTCACTTCATTCACAAGTATGCTAAAATAGGTGTGGCATATTTAATTTTATTTACCAATTCTTTTTGGATTACATTAGCAGCGACCAATTTACGCTGGTTTCACATGAAAGATTTTGTATTTTTTTTTTGAGAACTCTCTTGTGCTGCAGATAAGATAAAACTTTTTTTCGTCCATATAGAGGGGTCTGGACTCTTCAATCTGAGTCCAGGGCGCCGCCTGATTGACCTTAGTGCAGGATTCTTTAGGTAGGTTCTGCAGGTACTTTAAAATGCCCTCTCGACGCCGAGTCTACGCCGAACGCCTACCTGTTAAACCAGACCCTCCTCTGTCATCCAGCGATCCGGAACCGGAATGGCCGCTGTAAGACCGGCATCACTTCCGAAGCACTACCTTCATTCATCCACAAACTCACCTAGGAGGCTCTCTGTGTCGTTCCAGGTAGCATATAGAAGACCATCATCGCTCCTAGTACGGCATTACTCCCAGGCGGGCATTTCGTCCTTCCCCAGAGTCTAACTCATACAGTCTGACACACTTTTATACCTTCAACTTCCAGCATATTTCCCACTTATCTTTGCCGTTGGTCCTGCTGTCTTTCTTTTTTTTTTCTTTTTTCTTGATCACTGCACGGATATAGTTGTGCTTGATCACTGCATCACCCAGCGATGTTCATCCCCTCTGTTGCTCAGTGCTTCGAGTACACTCACGATTGCATCAATCGTGCTTTTCCCTTTACAAAAACCAAATTGCCTCCAAGATAAACCACCTGACCTATCAATCATGTTGTCTATACATACTGCATCCTTTTATACAGCTTACCGATGCATGGAAGGAGACAGATGGAGCGATACTTTTCCCCAGTTTTGGGGAGCAGTACTAAACTCGATGTCCTCCAAAGCTCCAGAAAGGTCTGTGCTTCCAGCTGTGCATTCATGTACATTCACGCAAGCTCCGCCTTTTCTAGACCCTTCACCGCCTCATGTGTTATTCAGTCTCCAGTCCGGGGGACCTGCGCATCTTGAGTGAATTCAATGCCTCGACAAGTTCCTCCATGCTCCATGCCATCTGCCGTCCGGAAAGAGCTCTCGTGTTACCACAAGCTTTTTGTCAATAGGCATTTCATAAGTAGGATACGCATGGAACTTATGGTTATCCTGTATCCCTGGCCCCAGATGTCCTCATCCAGCTTTTCACACAGCTCTTTCTAGTGCCTTTTTTTCTGCACGGAAAGTATAAGTCAAAACTAAATAGTTCTAATAGAAAACTAACAGAATTTTTACTACCAACAATTATAAGTACAATGACGATTGTGTATTTTCCTAGAACTGCGTTCTTACTCGATTCTTCTTCTTCTTCTTCTTCAGCCTGTGTTCGTCCACTGCTGGACATAGGCCTCTTCCATTTGCTTCCATCGATTTCTACTTTTGGCAATTCTCATCCACTGCTTGCCCGCGACTTGTTTGATATCGTCTGTCCACCTCTTCTGCGGTCTGCCTACTCCTCGCCTGTTCTCTCTTGGTCTCCAGTTTGTTAATCTTTGTGTCCATTTTTCGGGATTATCTCGGGCAACGTGTCCGACCCATTGCCACTTAAGCCTTGCAATACGTTCTGAGACATCAGTAATTTTTGTTCTTTCACGAATGACGTTATTTCGAATCCTGTCTCTCAAACTAATCCCTAGCATGGCCCTCTCCATTGCTCTTTGGGTTGTACTGAGCTGCTCTAAGGTTTTCTTTGTGAAGGCCATGGTCTCCAGTCCATATGTAGTTACAGGCAAGATACATTTGTCATAAACTTTACGTTTTAGACACATTGGTATATCTTTATTCTTCAAAATAAAGCTTAATTTGCCGAAAGCTCCCCAAGACAGTTGTATGCGTCTTTTTATTTCGGCTATTTGATTTTCTTTGCCGATTTTAATGGTATGTCCAAGATATATATAGTGGTCTACATTTTCAAGACTGACGTTGTCAATAACAAGATTAGTACTCGATTAAGCTTGTTTTAAACGCTTAGAAGGGAAAACCCGGTTGCTCCGGCTGTGTCGCTGTGGCAAAGAGCAGCGAAATTTCGATGCAGAGATAGCAAAAATGCGATCTGTCTCGAAAGTTCTTTTTGGGTTTGGGCGCGAGACTCGAGACAGAGTCGCAGCTTTAAGTTAATGAGCTTATTATAAAAAGAAAAACAGCTTGTTGATTTTCGCGTAAAATTATTCTATAAATGAAATATTTTCATGTAACTTTTTTAACTAATATCAACACGTTCAAGTTAAAATGAACTGATTTTAATTAAGTCTATACGTATACCTATTCCAAAAACTTTTAATAAGAGTTTTCTCATTACAAAAATCAATGCGACGACATTAACGTTCAAAAAGTTTTGTTAGAATCTGCTGATGATTTTAAAAATCAATATACCGCACACTTTATACGATATAAAGGTCTTTCTCTCACTTTTTCAAAAATAATAATATCGTGGGGACAAACTTGCTACCTTGGTACCAAATCCGTGACTTCATGACCCCACTCTTGGCTACATGCCTGATTCCTTATAATTTATGAAAATACCTTCTCTGTTCTCTGGCGTGGTTATTAAGAGATAATCTTGACAATTTTGACAAATGACAGCATGACGTCACCACTATTGTGGCATGACTTCACCACTATTGTGGCATGTTACTCGATTATCGCCATTACTGGGCTTAAAACGGATAAGTTTTAAAAAATTAGCAAAACACGATTTTTGTGCAATTTATTATATTTTGACGTGTTTTGTTTAGACTGTTTTAGAGTTCGAGTGAATATTGTTTTGTTAGTAGAAAAACAAAATGTTTTTACAACGAGCATACGGAAAATTAATGTGTTAAAGACAGATAGAAATAAAGAAAATGGAACTTACGTGTTTAAGAGAGAGAAACAAAACTACCATCTGCTTTATTTTGGGATTAGGTGGTTGGTATATGACATGAAAGAAATTACATATTTCATGTCCTACGCACATATGTGGAAATCTTGCTTCCTACAGCACATAAATCTTTCTATGAGCATTATAAAACCACTTTGTTTTTTCTACTATTGTTATTACGTCAAATCTTATTGTATTTTGATGTAGTTATAATTCTGTTCCGTGCGAAATTAATCGAATTTAAGATGTGCTGTACTAGTTTGTCAGTGGAAGATGGTTTGATCAATGCCAACAAGTAGTACCACGGCTTGGTATATGTTTTTATTTG